TCTTTCTTTCTTTCTTTCTTTCTTTCTTTCTTTCTTTCTTTCTTTCTCCTTTCCACCTCTCTCCCTCAGCTGAAAAGCAAAACCCCCCCAAAAATTTTGTAATAAAATGCCTCAAATATAATGAATGTTTGTTGGTTAACTGACTGAGTCAAGCACAATGAATTCCCACATAATGTATGTCTTATTTTCTACCTTGCAGCTCAAAGAATTCTGACATCAATTCTTAGTAATAGCATATGGCCCAGAGATAATAACTATCACTCATGGTTGGACAGGAAATCTCCTTATGAGATGACAAATATCAAGAAATATTGCTTTCTGAAATATTGACAAGATGTAACATCCCTGTAGTTCCGTATGGTTGGCGCTGATTTGTGCAGTAACTGTGAGCCCACCCATGTTGCAAAGAGGTTGGTTTCGATTTGATGGTGAACCTCTACTCAGTGTTCTGTGCTATCCACTGTAGGGAGTGGGAGAGATAAAAAAAGTATACCATATGACTGAAATATGGCACTGCTACAGTCACTTAACTCCTTTGTGCCTCAGTTTCATCTGTAAAGTGATATGACTACCAGATGACTTTTAATGTCCCTTCCAACTCTTTATCTATATAATTGTATGATCTCTGCACCTAAAGAGCTGTTAATCTAGTTTGAGTGATAAGATTGTTCCATGCATTGTATAGAATTTAAATAATAACATAATCAGTATCTCAATAACACCAAAGGAGTAAGATGATACTAAAAAAGCTCTGGGAGTTTGGGGGGATGGGGAGTGGGGAGATGGCTGTAGACAGAGGATAGGGAGTGGGAAAGAGGTAGTAATTTAGATGATCTTTGAAGGATGTTGGATAGAGAGGTGGGGGAGGAAGGAATAGCATGAGCAAAGACCAGGAAACAGAAATGGTCATTGTAAATTCCAGGGACAGTGAATAGATAATTTGGTTGGAGTAGAGGTTGTATACTAGGAGATAAGTAAGAAGGATAAATTGAGGACAGATTATAAAGAGTCTTGAATGGTAAGATAAAGAGTTTGGGCTCTATCTTACAGGTCAACTATCTCCAAAGACATTTTTATTGCTTACCCCTATAGATACAGTTTTGAATATGTATATACCCCTAATATATGTTTACTTATTTATAAATTGTATATATATAGTCCTGTACTCATGTATTATGTAAATTATAACATATATACCCAAAAGACATTTAAAAGGATGAGATAAAGATGAAATAAAATATTTTAAAAGAATTTTATTTACTTATTTAATTTGTTTATTAATGTGCAACACTTTATTTTCACTAAAATTATTCCCTAATTTAAACTATTTTTAGTGATAGCAATGTGATTGCATATACTTTGTTATTTTAGTTTTTTTGAGACTGAGTTTCCTCATCTTTCTTAGCCTGTGGCCACTCACAGCCTGACCTCAATGTATGTTGTTCATGGGAGCTTTAATATGCTCCATTTTTCCAACCAGGGCTGGTTTACTTCTTCTTCTTCTCCTCCTCCTCCTCCTCCTCCTCCTCCTCCTCCTCCTTCTTCTTCTTCTTCTTCTTCTTCTTCTTCTTCTTCTTCTTCTTCTTCTTCTTCTTCTTCTTCTTCTTCTTCTTCTTCTTCTTCTTTTTGCTTTTTGGTGAGGCAATCAGGGTTAAGTGACTTTCCCAGGGTCACACAGATAGTAAGTGTCAAGTGTCTGAGGTCAAATTTGAACTCAGGTCCTCCTGACTCCAAGGCCAGAGCTCTATCCACTGTACCACCTAGCTGCCCCTGGTTTACCTCTTCTTAAGCAGTCTGATGGCCCTCTGCTACTCACCATATTAGCGCTGACTTAGTGGCGGACCCAGGGTCTCTCAGCAAGAATGTTTGGGCGGCAGAACTTGAACACAGGTCTTCTTAACTTGGAGACTGATTCTCTCCACATTATAGCACACTGCCTCTCATGTAACCTGTAAAATATTTCTTTCCTGTGGAGTTTTTTTTCTTTCAATTGAAGCAAAATGCTTTACTTATTTTCATCCTCATTGCTCTCTTCAAAAACAGAAATGATAAAAATGAATAAAACTAAGACCATCATTATAAGACACGCCCAAGTTTCATACCAGTCTGATTTTGGGGAAGAGTGTGGCTTATACTAACAACCACATGGTTGTGATGGGGGTGTTGAGGAAGTTTTGGGCTGGGAATTAGGATGTAAGTATTTGAGTCCCAGCTCTGCCATAAGCTTGTTTCATGAACTTGGACAAATAACTTTTCCTATCTGAGCCTCAGTTTCCTTCTCTGTGAAATAAGGTGGCAAGATCAGACGATTGTGGGTCTCTTCCAGTTTTAAAATGCTACATTTTAAAGAGAAGAAATCAATAAAAAGTTCATCTTCCAAGCCCTGAGACAGGAGAGGTTGGCTTCTTAGAGAAGGCTGAGAAAACCATTATACTATTAAGCCAGTAGACTGTATTCATGAGTATAGGTCACTACTACTTATCCACTGCCAACACCTCCTACCAAGGTGAAGAACAAAATGTGTCATTTACTCTTCCTTCAACACCGCCTTCCCCTTCTCAAGCTTCCTGCTTGTCCTCTGGGGGAGTTATAGCCTGCCTACCCCACTTAACATCAGGGAGAAATCATCAGTAGAATCATCTTTGCTACTTCTTCAACCTCTATGGGATTGGCCTAGCTTGGGTTGCTCTATTGAAGGATGGGAAGACTCAGAAATGCAGTTTGGAAGGTAGATGAGCTCCAGACTACTGTGTATCCTTTTCCCCTTGGGGAAGGAAGGGAAGGGGAAGGGAGGAATTTTTTCAGGAGGGTGGAGAGACAGCAGCTTAATCTAGGACTCTGGTGGTGTGGAAACTCAGTCCCCAACCCCAAAGCCAGTTATTAGCCAGCCACAAACATCTCACCAGACCCTATAGGTCTGTTTCTTCCACATTTTTAATGTAAGTAGAGAACAGCCTGAAACAGAATCTGTTATTTTTTCCCTTTCT